CCTGACCGGAAACGTCAACTTTCCTGCTCCTCTGATGCTGCCTGGCCTGCTGTGCTCCTCCAGCTCCACACTCTGTTATCTCTGACTCCAGCATCGGCAATTCTTGCTATCTCTGAGTAACTTTTTTAGAAGTGTATTTTCCCCTAGTCATCAGGCACGTGGGTATTGTTGGCAAGGCCAGCAGTTTTATCTTATCTAATTGTCTTTGAGAGGATTTTAATGAGCTGTCTTCTTAAATACAAGTGAGCAGCGGACTGTGCTGAGAGTCTGGACTGCACGTTGGCCATATTCTGCATGGATTGCAGATTCCTTCCCGAAAGAGGGCAAGTGAACCAGATGGGTTTTTACAACAATCAATACTTTTGCAATTACATCTAGCTATAATCACATTTAACTTTCCCAGCTGACATGGTAAGATTTAAACTCGTCTCCAGATCATTGATTGGGGCATGTGGATTACTAGTCCAGTAACAACCACATTGCTACTTCACCCTGGCTTAATGTGACAAATTATCAACAATTCTTGTATAAAGCTGAACTTGCTAATTGAATATCCATAGGAGACAGGATTTAAACAGCTAAAGAGTGGATAATAGTCTATAGTTTAAAAAGTTAAATTAGTGACTGCACTAAATGGGGTTCACTTCATTACTCTTCCTTCTCCAATTCGGTTCAATGATGAAATTATTGGTTCAACAGACTAACTTCTAATAGGAACATCTCTGATACAATTGATGAGTGACATCTTTTTAAGCAAGAAGCCCATTTGTGTTTACTTTGGGTCAATTTAAACTTTTCATTAATGCTGGTCGTGTGAAACTATTACAGAAACTTAGGAAGACAGGACACCTTAGTTATAATTTTTCTCACTCTCGTGTATTCTAAGTCCTGTATGAGCAAGCTCACCTGCCTAGTGATCATGTGACTTTTCAGTTGTTGTTACTATTACCATAATTTCATTGTACATTAATAATTGTGACTATTCTGTTGGTATAATAGAAATTCACACACTAGTGAGTATGTGACCAACACAATTATTTTATTTTCTGCTGAAAGAGGTCTAGACCAGAATCTGTACCTCAGGGTCAGATGGGGGTTTGTTCTAAAGGCTGCTCTAATGGGCAAATATATTTATGAGAATATATGTATTCCTCTACCACACAACGCCATTACTTTTGTGGTGAATCTATTTTGAATTTTGTACTTGCGTATGCATCACATTGAAAACCCCTCCGATAACCTATCTTCATGAAAAATTCTGTTCTAAAAGTACACATTTTGTAATTACCCGTGGATCTTGGAAGACTTTTAATATCAAACTTGTTATGCTTTGCTCATCACGTTCACCAATTTCACTGACATATATTGCAACATTGCCTCAACTTTGCTGAAAATTGCAATCACGGTCTAGCTGAAAAAAGAAACACAATGCTGGAAATCAAAAAAAAAAAGATAATATTCGAAATATCCATCAGGTCAATGATGGAAGGTCATTCTGATGAAGGGGCAACATCAACTTGAAATTTTCACTAATCTTTTCTCCACTGCTGCTGCCTAAACATTTCAAAGCTCTATTTTAAAACTGTTTTCAGCATTTGCCTTATTTTCTCTCCAATTCTATTCTGGATCTACAAAAATTCCTATCCTCATCCCATTGCATATTGATTCATCTATTAAAATAATACTAGTCTACCAAAAAATATACATTTTGAAGCCAGCCCTATTGCCCCCTCAGTATCAATATTGAGCCTGTGAGAGTGGATCGGGAGGAAAACAATCTTCCGTAGCCTCTAAGCAGGAAATATACTTTGACCTTCGATTTCTAAGATCATTACTTTTGCTTCCTCCACACCTAGTGTCATAGAGATGTACAGCACAGAAACAGACCCTTCGGTCCATCTCGTCTGCTGCACCCACTATGCTGTGATAACACTGTCAACCCTACGCAAACTTGCCCCTGTTCGCTTTCCAGTTTCTTTAATCTACTGACAGAATTGCACCACCCCACATAACCATATTTAATCACTTTATTGTCAGTCATTCTTCTTGTCACTATTCTTAGAATACTTCTACCCTAAAACTTCAGTTCGGTTTAAGTAGATTAAATAATTCTCCCAAATAATCTTCTGAGAGACCTCCAAGTTTAACATAATAGTAAACCACTCTGCTCACTCAGACTGCTAACATGTTCAGTACTGAGCTTTTCAAAATTAAGGCCTAATTGTTTTCCCCAGCTGGAATTTTTCATTTCAAAGTAATGCGAAAGACCCCAGGTGGGGAGGGCAAAGAGATATCAATTCATGTCATTAAATCCTCCAGTTCTCTGTGAGTAATGCCACGTGACATTTTGTAATAGGAAGAAAATGTTAATTTTTATTGTTACATATACAAGCCTTCTAATTTATACTCCATTTATGGCTTTAGCAGCACATTTTATTGGAGCCCAAAATAAATCAGATTAAATTAATATGTGACATCCTCAACGATTACTAGAAACAATTAACAGCAGTTCCTGACATCAATCACAGCTAAAATTTTCAGTCACACTGTTTCAGCAGACCAATTCTGATATTCAAAACCACAAAACAGCTGCAATCATGTGGTTACCAGGAACCTATAAGCAATTACAATGTAAAAGAGAATTTTTCTTAATCTCCATTGCCATCTGCCACTTTTTCATAGAATTCTCAACTAAGTAGGCCGGTCAAGTCATAACCATGGTTAGTGACAGTGCCAGAAAAAAATATGAAAGAAAACATCAGATGAAAAATGTGGTCCAAAAAGATTACTTAAAGTATACTATCACCAAGATTTTAAAGGTCATTGCTGACAATTACTGTTTTAGCAGTACACCCACTTTTAATTTAAAATACATATGTTTAAAACAGAATAATATCCATTTTACATATACTTTTGTCCGAAAGAAGTGATATTTAATGCTATGAAAACAAGTTACACACTGCAGGGTGTATGCTTCATTTAGGCAATAAACTCTTCTGTGAGAATGTATGATTCCCAAAGATAATTCAGAAAGTGCAGCTAAAATAAAAGGCAGATATAAATATTTAACTTATAGGGCTCAGATAGAGGGGTTAGGAATAATCCACAACCCTAGATGAAAACTAACCTG